TTGCCCCTGATGTGATGAGTAAAAGTAAGATGTGATAGTTTGGTTATTAGTGAAAAAGTATTATGTGATAGGTAGAGTATGAAAAAGTAAGGGCAAAAGTAGTTTTTAATAGAAAGTGGAAGTGTTTTAGGGAATTGAAAAAAATGAAAGGGGAAGAGTTTTATGGAACAAAGGGAGTATTATTTTATGTTTGGAAAAAAAATGAAGGAATTTCTAGAGTCAATGATCTTTTCTTAAAATTAAGTTTTATGGATATGTCTCGAAAAGATGAATTCAACGATATATTTTATGAACAAATATGATGTGTAGATTTTGAGTTGTGACATTTTAAATATGTAATTTGCATGAAAGCGAGAAGTGGTTAAATATGTGAACTTTTGTAAAATGAATTATTGAAATAAATTATTTAAATTGAATAATATTGATTGAATATGAGATTAATTTTAATTATATGTCAATTAATTCAATCTTGACTTTGTCAAAATCAACACCCAAAAATATGGTGTTAGAAAAAGTATTTCAAAAAATGTAAAAATTGTATCATCGCGTAGAGTTTGAGTGTCTGGTCACAACAGTGCAATCATATTTTAATTTGAAAAAAGTTGAACAAAAAAGTATATCCTGATTGAGACCATTTTAGTCTCAATCAGGGAGAAACGTGTGAAATTTCCAAAGATCAACCGCACAATCCACTACGAACGTAACGCATGAATCACCAGGGATAAGCACCAAAACCACACAACTATTCCTCCATTCTTGGCCTATTTAAGGAGGTTAGTTATTCTTCAATTCTCCACTATTCTATTCCATTCTTCATCCATTAGTTTCATTAGAGTATAGAGAATAGATCGCAAGTAATCGTCGCCGACGAAGTCACACTCGGAGAATTTTGTTATTATATTTGTCATTTATTAAAATTAAATTAGGAGTGTAATTAATAACAAAAAAAATTTTGAACAATGCTACACTTACACCATAAAATATACCACATTTGTACACCACAGGTTTGCACAAACATTTCGATGGTTTACACCGACACAAGTGTTGGTGCGTTAATAAAAATTCACACAGACTCAAATGTTGGTGCATTTAACAAAAACTAGTTTTACACTAACAGAAAGTGTTGGTGCAAAACTGCGGTGTACAAATTGGGGTACACATAGCATAATCCAAAATTTCTTTCTATATAACTAAGGAAATTCTTTGAAGAGATGAGAACAAATCGGAATCAGGTTTAATTATGGGCGGGACTGGGTCTGCATCCGGCTTATAATTGGACCGGTCGGTCTAACATCATTTGCATTTTCAATCTGTGGGCGCAAAGCCGCAAATCATCGATCGATCAATAAACGGCGTTCGTCGTTGGATTAGTTTTCGTAGTTCGAAATCTAAACTTTCTAAGACTTCAATGAAATTCAAGACTCGGTCAAAAATTCAAGAAACATAGCTACCGGTACCGGATTCCGGCGGCATCACCAATCTCCGGCGACCTGAAGGCTACTTCCTAAGTCTTGATGAAATGCTGACCTCTGCGATTCTTTCTCTTCCACGCTCTTCTTCCACATCAGCCTTTCCGCCGCCACTTGCCTGTTCCGGCGCACTCCATTCGTCTTGCTCTTTAGCTACTCCTACACTAAGAGTTATTACTACAGCAAGCAAAAGCCCCTCTAGGAATAGGCTTCTCCGTCTACGCGGTCAGGCATCTTCCTCTTCCAGGCCGATGATCGAGAAGGAAACCCCGGAGTCCCAACGGCCGGAATCCTTCCTGCGAGACTCCGATAACAAGGAATTCTCCTGCGCCGGTGATGAGACCGTGAGGGCTCGTTTTGAGAAGATGATCCGGGAGGTTCAGGACGGCGTGTGCTCGGCCCTGGAGGCGGTGGACGGAGGGGGCAATTTCGCAGAAGATGTTTGGTCCCGACCAGGCGGCGGTGGTGGGATCAGTAGGGTTTTGCAGGACGGAAACGTATTTGAAAAGGCCGGCGTCAATGTATCCGTCGTGTACGGCGTCATGCCTCCTGAGGCCTATAGAGCTGCCAAGCCATCCACATCTGCAGCCGATGATGGCAACAACTTAAAGCCCGGACCTGTTCCATTTTTTGCTGCTGGGATAAGCTCGGTAAACTCTCAGCCTCTCTAATTTCAAAACTAGGGTTTTACAATCATATCTCTGATGGAGATTAATTGTATGAATTTGTGTTAGGTTCTGCATCCAAAGAACCCTTTTGCTCCAACTCTGCATTTCAACTATCGTTATTTTGAAACGGATGCTCCAAAAGGTGCCATTTCAATCTGTTATTTCGATCACTAAGGCATTATCTGATATGATTTTGAGTGATATTTGCTAGTCGAATCCGTGATTGTTGTAACCTGTTTTTATTTTCATATTTTGAGTGGAGATCTTTCGTATACAACCTCTCTCTCTACATAAACAGGTAGGGGTAAGGTCTATGTGCACTCACTCTCCCCTAGACCCCACTTGAGGGACCTTAGGTTGTTGTTGTTGTTGTTGTGAATTGCTAGTCATTGGTGTTCAAATCGCATGCAGATGCTCCGGGCGCACCACGTCAATGGTGGTTCGGTGGTGGTACTGATTTGACACCTTCTTACATTTTTGAGGAGGACGTTCGACACTTCCATTCGGTAAAGTGTACATAATGACTCATCCTCCCCAACTCCCACCGGAACTGTTTCTTGTTTTTTCCAAGTTTCGTATGTAATGTGGCTATGCCCTTGTCAACCTAGATTCTTGGAGTTAGGATAGATACTCAGCTTGTCTTCTTGAAATCCAATTTCTTGAGAAATGAACAAAAGCAAATCCCACTGACAAAAAAAGAATCTTTGTGTGGGATGACATGAACTGGAGTAAAGGGCTATTTATATTTTATCACAACCATACCCTACCTTTATATTTAATTTTCTGTTTATACTTTAACCATCTAATCCTTCTTTAGAAATGTCTGATATTTGAAACTGGCTTCATATATTGTTCACAAAAGTATATAAGGTTTGCCATTCCTTATATCAACAAACAAGCTTGTTAAATATATTGTGGCTTGATTTTTTTTTGTAGGTTCAAAAAAGTGCGTGTGATAAGTTTGATCCTAGCTTCTATCCTCGATTCAAAAAATGGTGTGATGATTATTTTTATATTAAGGTATGCATTATGCTTTCCGTAGTCTACCGCTTGTTGTATAAAGTAATTTGTTAGTCTCAACATGTTTTTTTTAATTCTACTTACCCTTTATGTGGTTTATTGGCTGGTTTAATTAAATACTACCTCTATCCAATAAATAGGTTTCGCATTTTCTTTTTTGTCCATGTCAAAATAAGATTCTACTCTCGTTTCAAGGAAAGCTTTATGTGGCACATATTATTTCTCTCTCCTCTGCTACAATTGCATTGCACATTAGTACAAAAATGATTTTATTATATCTATGTTTAAGAAAACTTTCAAAAAGAGTATTCATTTCATTAGCACGCAATGCAATTTTTATATAATTGATGATTAAAGTTTGTCTAGTTTGACTTGAAAAATCAAACTACACAAATACTCTCGGACATAGGGAGTATTAGGTATAGGGAAATGCAAAGTATATATTTCTTTAGTGCGCCTTTGTAAGTAATGCACCAGTAGTACGGTGGTGACTTAGGTCGGAGCCTTGAGACCCCTTGACTTCAAATTCCTGCATCCGCCTCAGCATTACAAATTTACAAGTACTTTCTACTTGTGCATAAGCAATTGCGTTTTACATTGCAAGTGCTCTTACAACTCACCTAAAACTTTAATTAGGAACCATAAAAACATTAAATATAGAGTTGATGCTTATTCAAACTGGCAATTGGGGAAGCAATAAGCATCCAATTGTGATTACAATAATCAGAATTTGGATTGCAAACCATAAGTAGCGGTAGGGAATTGGGTGATCCGTAAGCAGTTGTCCAATTTCAATGCCAAAGAGACTCGTTATATGTTTCCATTCATTTTCATGTAACTTAATCGTGGAAATCCCCCCGCCCCCCAACCCACCCAGATAAGCTGAATGTTTTGAGTTCGTTAATGCATGAAATGCCTTCTCTTTTTTGCATCTGTTCCATTCTTCTTGAGTTACAATGAGCTAATATCCAGCAGGGCTGAATGTCTTGTGCAGCATAGAGGAGAGAGACGAGGTCTCGGAGGAATTTTCTTTGATGATTTGAATAACTATGATCAAGAGATGCTTCTTTCATTTGCTACAGGTAAGTTGGTCTTCAAAGTTTAAACTCGTCACTTGTTTGTGTAATTGGATGAAATCAAGACCGTTTATATATTAGATCAAAACTAGAAAATATTTAAAATGAGTGGTCAGTATTGCAGAGTGTGCGAATTCGGTCATCCCCGCATATATACCAATTGTAGAGAAGAGGAAAGATATGCCATTCACAGACAGTCACAAGGCATGGCAACAACTACGTCGAGGGCGTTATGTAGAGTTCAACTTGGTATCATACTCTATTCCATGTTTCCTTTAGATGCAGAAAGTATTTTACAGTAAAAAGAAATTGCTTTTTATATTAAAAAAATCTTCATTTGAAGGTTTATGACCGTGGAACAACATTTGGACTAAAAACTGGAGGACGTATAGAGAGTATTCTTGTATCTCTTCCATTAACTGCGCGATGGGAGTACGACCATGTAAGTCTCAGCTCATTAAAATGCAGGCTATTATGATTATGAATATGATTTTTTTAAATGAAAAAAAATTAAACGAATCATTTCTTGTCATCAAAGAAACCACGGGAGGGGACTGAAGAATGGCGGCTTTTGGACGCTTGTATCAACCCAAAGGATTGGATCTGAGCTTAAACAATCAGACTACTCTGTTGCTTTGCTGCCTGTTGAGGTTTGAGCTTTTGTTGTATCAGTATTTGTCTGAGTTTGGAATAAGCCCCAGTGTTCATTGCTGTTTTATTGAATTGAAGTGATTTTGTAGCATTTGTTTGATGCATAATTGTAAGCTAATTATCATTTTTATTTCGGTGCATCTTATGAGCATTGATGATGTAACAGGTTATTCTGATCCATATATGACTATTGACTACTAATAATCTCAATAAGAGCATCACATTTTACTCTATTGCAATTTCATGCAGATTTTAACTTTCCTGATTCCAACCCCTCTCCCCTGCACTTTGGGTACAAATATACTCGTCCGGTCCTAAAAACTTATTCTGTTTTGACTTTTTTTGATCAAATGGTGATAGTCTTTGACCACAAATTAAACATAATCTAAATAAATAAATGATATAAAAATTTAATATATCAAAATTATATACTAAGATGAACCCAATTATATTGAACTTATAGAAATTAAATACCGAGTATATATTTCTCACAATTTATGGTCAGAGTGTGTAACTGTTTAACCAAAAAAATTAAAACAGGAAAAGTTTTTAGGAGTGGATGGAAAATATTGCACGGGATATACTGGGTTAGTATAGGTACATGGTCGGTAATGCTTCATCCTTGTGCAAATGATTAACTAAGGGGTGTTTCTCTATACTGATATTAGTTGACTTATTGTCGATAAACAATTTTTAACTTATAAGTGTTTTAAAAGTTAAATATTCTTTTATGAAAATAAAATGACTTAAATGATAGATAAGTTATTTGTAAATATTCATAAATTGTGAGGAATAGTTTTGCAAATAATTTGATCATAATGGAGTTTCAGAAAAGCTAGTTTAAAAATAAGTAGATAAGACCTACTTATATATTCTGACTTATAAGCAGTTTATAAATCAATTTATAAGCACAAAAAAGCATGTCATTAGCTAATACATAAGTTAAAAATAGTTTATAAAGAATAGTTTATAAAGTAGTGGTACGTAAAAGTTCATCTTACTGACTTTTCAAAGTCTTGTGTTGGTGCTCTAGTGAAAAATGAAAATTCTCCTTTGGCTTGGCACTATTTCTCCTTTTACGTTATCACATTTGAGGGGTCTTTTTGAGACAAAAAAAAATCCTTCCTCTTTTTATCTTATTTTTTCCTTGGGTAACAATTAGCCCTGGCATTATAACTACATTTTAACTATCAATCCATTTGGTTTAGATCTATTTGGTATCGATTTATTTCGTATTTGCATTATAATTATATCGGAACGATTTGGTTCAATTTGGTTTCGGTTTGATTCGGTTTTCTAACTTTTCGATTTGGATACATATCACTGTCTTTAGGTATTGATTCGGGTCCAGAATCAGTTTAGATATAAAATGACTCAAATAGATATTGATAGGGAGTTATTTTTAATTAAAATGTTAAGTATTTAGAAATTGAATGTTATTTTTTGTCCTCATGAAAGGTTTAACATTATGATAGACCGACTTTAATCAATTTGGTTTTAATCAATTTTGGACCTTCGGGATTAAGTATAATTAAATCAGCGCTGGTTCTTTTGAATCATATTAGTTTTTGTTATAGATCAAATTTTAAGTTTTCAATTCATTTCATATTCAATTTCAAATATTTTGTTCGAGTAATAGGTTCTGAATCCGTTTTGCCAAGTATAAAAACCGTTCAAAAATATCCATTCAATTTTTCCTTTTTCTATCCACCCACACTCTCCTTTATACTTTTTTTGAAAAGTGTTAACAAAAAAGGGTAGAATCTGACTTAGTGGTAACAAAAAAGTATTAACATAAACATGAAATTAGTTATCTCATTTTTAAATGGTAAGTGTGACATATGAAATTAGTCTTTCAAATGAGTTTCGCATTGGACACCAATGTTAACACTAAAGCAAACACAAATTACACAAGACAAGACAATACTATTTGTGTAGAAATGTTTTTCTATCGAAAGGAGGGGAAAGAGCCCCAGGACCTCATGACTCATGAGAGGTTCCTCTAATACATTTCTAGACCAACAATAGCTCACTTTGTCCTCCTCCAAAGTTTGACGCATACCGTCTAGCATGTTCTCAAGATCTCTCCAACCCACCACCTGGTTACCCATCTTAGCGAGGACATCTGCTACTCTATTCCCTTCTCGTAAAACAAGGTAAATAGTGGCATCCCAATCCTTCGGTATCCAACTCTAACAAGCCTCAACAACATTACATGTGGGGCCTCTTGTGATGGCATGTGCTTAGAACTACTAGTTTTTTATAAACTTCTTTCCATGGTATTACATGATCACATACTATTTGTGTAGAAGTGCTTGCGAGTATATGTATTTGCCTTTAGTGTAAAAATGATACAAAGTATGATTCTAGCATTGCCCATGGTAATATACTACCCAAAGGGTATTCTACATAAGAGGAAGTTTATTCTTACACCACTATCGCTTACATTGGGATAACTAACAATAATTTGTTATAGGTTATAAATAGTTTTGCTAGGGGCACGTCACTTGGTGTACACTAAGGTAAAAACAGGCACACAAATGCTCAATGTCTGTCTGTGTGTCTGTTTTTGCCTTGGGATACACTTGATGTACACCAAGTGGATACTCCTAGTATTTTCCGGTTATAAAAAATAAACTAATCCCAAGAGAACAAAAATAGCAAAGTAGACACCTAAGTCCAAAACAAGGGTGGCATATTTTTTCAGTCACTAAGCCATGGCATCTAAAAAAAAGACCCATTAATAATGGAAAAATAAGATTAGACGCCTAGAGATCAAGAAAAGATAACTGCTTAAATAAATTAATAGTAAATCAGATGCATCCTCAATTTCCATAGTTGTAAGCAGATCTACTCTACTTGGCATTATGTTTTTTGAGATTGAGATCTTCTACCATGTGATTAGGTTACTATAGATCCCACTTTGAACCTATTTATCGATCTAGTATCACTCACTATACATCGCAGTCAAAACAATCCGGCAGAAAGGCATAATCAACCCTTGGAAAATTGAAAGTTTTGAGCAGTTGGGGTTAGATATGAATTCTATTTCCATTGCAATGACTGCCATTTGCGAGCTTGTCGTGTTGCAATGATCCATTCGAAAGCTTGTCGTGTTTTTGCGACTTTGTGGGTGAGTGTCCATTGCTTAAGCCACAAACACTCTTCTCAACGACATCACTGAGTTGCCCACACGAAGCTGCTATGAGCCCTGTTTTTTTAAAACAACCGGAAAGAAAGAGCCCAGAGACTGATTGAGAAATTGCACACAAACATCGATGAGAAAAACAAAATAAATGCAGGGGCATGAAACGAATAGCAGAAGAAAGCTTTCTTATAAGATGTAGTGATAAATTTAGGCTCAACCCCTACATGATAAACAATAGGGGATGGATAAACTACCTTTGAAAAGAGCAGAAGGTTTTCCGGGTCTTGATTTGAACTCGGGATGAAATTGAACTCCAACATAGTAAGAGTGATTACACAGCTCAAATATCTGCAGTGACATATGTTCCCACTCAAAAAAAATGCACACAAAACATGGAGCAACATTGCTAATATGATCGCCTTTGAAAACTACTAGTCAGAATATACCTCCATGCGATGACCGCTTTCATCTTTGCCTGTGAAACAGAGACCAGCAGCTTCAAGCTGCTTTACCATTTTAGGATTTACCTATGCAACATAAGCATTTTTTTAAACTTTCCTAGTCAGAACCCTTAAAGTCTTCGACCATGAATATTAACAAATGATAAACAGCAGCAGTTCAAATATATGTGCAATACTAGCACTATTATAAACAAATGTGTATCGCACACCTCATATCTATGGCGATGTCTTTCATCAATAAAGTTTACATTGCCATATCTGAAACAAAACAGTAGGTTCTATTAGGATTTAAGCATGAAATGATACGTACTGAAATACAGTGAAAATACAAGAGCACTGATTCCACTTGAAATGTAAGATTGCCAAATAAGAAACAGAATCTTGGCAATCTTGCATCAACTCCTTTTATGTAAATAAGGGTTCAGAGGAGGAAAGTAGACTTACAATTTAGCAGAAATGCAGTCTGTAGTCTGAAAATATGTCCTCCTGGATCCAAGTCGCATAGTCCCTCCCATATGAGTTTTTGACCCCTAAAAAGCCACGGGCAATAGAAATTTTTGAATCCAAGAGAACTAGTTTATATCACGGATCACCATCCAGAATAGAATTGTAGAAGACCCTAACCTCTGGCATAAAAATGACACAGGGATTCGGAGTATTGAGATCAAACTCTGTGCTATTTGCATCTTTCAGACCAAGAATGGAGCGAGCAAACTCAATTACGGCTATTTGCATCCCTAAGCATATTCCAAGGTATGGAATCCCGCTTTCTCGGGCATATTTAGCTGCAAGTATTTTTCCCTCCACACCCCTGTCACCAAATCCTCCAGGAACAAGTATTGCATTTGCACCCTATAAGGTACTCCGTATTTGTCATAGTTAGATAATGTATGAAGCAGAACGCCTTAAGAACTGCTTGAAAAGTTGTATCAGAGCACAATACACCAGACAAACCTTTAGCAAATCCCAAGCACTCTTATAATTTTCAGGATTCTGTTAATCAGATTTAAATTATCAGCTAAATTGCTTACAAAAAGAGTGTTATGAATGTCTGTGAGAATGAAGAGGCATGATAAAATACCTCTTTTTCTGTAATTTCCTCAAGATCCCCAGCTGCGATCCAATCTACAAGCAGTTTCCTGCGGCAAGCAACAGCAGCATGCAAAAGTGCCTGCAATAATTAAGTCTTGATACTGTGAGAAGAACGGACAAACCACAAAATGAAAAATTTTCTTACTCGAAAAATTACTGAATAGATATAATGGGTCTGCAAATACTTTTGACCCAAGCAAAAGTACAATTAGAAAACTAGATTAACCAAAAAGGAGATTCATCAAAGCTAGATCTATCCAGTATCCATACAGGTCATCTCTAAATAAAACAATTCTACATTAGATGTACCGATGTGCACCAATTCGTGCACTTAGTTTCTGTGAATGAGCAGTTCAAATAAATCTTTGGCTAAATTAAACAACTAACCAATAAACAGAATAGAATTAAGGTAGCAGCCTTAGGCATGCGAATGATACTGAAGAAATTTAAATTCACCTTCACCACAGAGAGGTAAGAATCTGATAGCCCGGTGTACTTTCCTACCATGGCAACTCTTACCTATTGATCGAACAGCAATGAGTTGTAGAAAGTAGAAAGGAAATAAAAAGGATTCTAAAACATGTTCGTGGCAGCAAAGCACTGCAAACATGCATTTTTCAACCAGGTCTAATAGAAATGAAATCTACTCCCTTGCTTCAACTATTTTGGTACATTTTGACCTTTTTGTTTGTCCCGCTAATTTAGTAAGATTTGTGTGGATTGCGTTTTCTCCCTTTTCAGGTAAGGCCTGCATAAACCAACCTCCCCGGACCTCACTTGTAGGATTTTACTAAGTAGGTTGGTGTTGTGTGGCTCACATTTATTCTTAGTTTTTAACATCAATATCAACTACAATTTCGGTTTTCTTAATTTGTGGGCCACTTCACCTCCTCCCTAAAATAGAGGGGCGGAGGGAGTAATTTAACAATAAATATTATTCCTAATTATCACATAGTTTTCCCTTTAGTTGCTTTGTTGCCACTGCACACATATCAGAATCCCTACAAATCTTAAGAATTTTGAGAGCCTACTGGGTCGTGCAGGTTGTCACAAAGTTCAGCACGAGACTCCCATTCTCCCAATGCAGGCTCCATTGCAACTCTGAGGATTTTTAGGAAAATTTATGACTTCAGAAGAAATAGATTCCAAAATAATGAATGTGATCAATACTCAAGAAAATAATAACAAACAATAAATAGTATAGCAATGCAACACAAGAACAAAAGGAGCTTATATGACGAACCCTTTGAGGTTCAAGGCTCTCAAAATGGCCTCATGAGCCTTCTGGTCCTAAACCAAAAAAGACAACTGATGTAGTGAATGTTGAACCAACATATTCCTCTGTATATATTAAGAGCAAAAAAGAGCTACTTACTCTTAGAAGCAAAGGAACGCGCCAGATGTTGGAAACATCATAAAGAGTGACAATATTCTCTACCTAAGAGTGAAAAGCATGGACACAAAATCAGAAACAGTCATGCAAATTTAAACTGTAGATAAACTGATTCCATATGCGATATGCAGTTATGCACTAATCACCATATCTTGAACATATGGAAATATTCTACGAAGATGACGGTTTCAGATTTTTCAATTCATTATTCCTTCATAAAAAGGTTGCGGCGTGAAGGTCATCCACCATGAAACATTGCCATTTAATTCTATTCTACTTTTTCTGCATGAATTTATAGTGAAGTGGTTTTAAAAAATTAATAAGCATTGTAATTTAAATGTGGCCAACCCCAACTAGTTGGGATAATTGTGTTGATTATGATGATGGTGGTGGTGGTGTGCAATAATCATACCGGAACATGGCAAAATCGGGAAAGTTTCTCCTTGACGGTCTCATCAAGTTGCTGATAAATAGAAAATCAGTCTCACAAGTTAATCCTGATATTTAGCTGAAATAAACACGCTGACGAACAGTGCATGTGTGTGTTATGTGAAACACCAGACACAAAAAATAGGGACCTTGGTGCTCCGACATGCTAAAATATTTGGAGTTAATCCCAGGCTTCTCAATCCCTTAACACTGTGCTGAGTTGGCTTTGTTTTCTGGATAGTTAAAATACAAAAATATGCTTAATTTGAAGGTTGTAAGCATACACTCCGTGATTTAGAGATGCATACTTACGAAAATAATGAATTTAAAAAAACTGACCTGCTCCCCAACAACATTTAAAACTGGCACAAGACTGACATGTATCAAGCAAAAGTTCCCTGTGCCTATGAATAAAAATCTTGATAAAGATAAATATGAAAACAAAAAGGAGATATTTTTGTGGTTAACTTTCCCATCAATGTATATCATAACTTACCAACACGGTATGAAAATTGTCCTAAAGCCTCAATAAATGGCATTGACTCAATGTCACCTACACCAAGTAAGAAAATGTACTTCTCAGTCCCACAAACAAAAAGGAAAATGTATACATGGTATCTCAAGTAAGAATGTTGTTAGATTACCTATGGTTCCACCCAGTTCTATGACACATACATCAGCTGGACCATCTTTTCCATCAACTGGTATGACAGCTACGCGCTCAATCCATTCTTGAATGGCATCAGTAATGTGATGGACGACCTGAACACAATGGACAAACCAACTATGTGATACCCTATATGAAGAAATGAACAAAATGTGTGAACTTCAAAATTAAGACAAACCTGGACAGTTTTTCCCAAATAATCCCCTCTTCTCTCCTTTTCAAGAACAGACTGAAAATTAGACACACTACTCAGTTGATTTGATTGAAAAGTCATAAAGATAACAATTTGAAGGATAAAAAAATGTTTAGCCCAATAACATGCCTGGTAAATTTTTCCAGTGGTTATATTGTTGTCACGTGTCAACTTCACATCCAAAAATCGCTCATAGTTCCCAAGATCTAGATCCACCTAAAAGGACACAGAGTCAAAATATTGTTAACATACAAAATACATTGATATATTATATTTCTCGAAAGCTAATTTTCCCATACATGGGGCAAATTTAAAGAATTAAAACACAGAAAACAGAATGTATGATTATGGACATGTAGGTCTACTTTGGATTGCGGCATTGCATTGAGCTGTTGAATAGGCTTTTCATTGGCTTTATCCTAGGGATTTTGGGTCATTTCCCTTTAAAATTGACATTAATATGGATTTTCAGCAAATTGCAGCATATCTGGCAATGGATAGCTGTTTGGACCAAAATAGTTGGCACTATAGAAGTTATGCCCAATTTATATGATGATAAACTAGCATAAATCACAGTGATCACTATATTAGCAATGAACAAAAAACAGATTATTCAGATAATATATACAGTTTTTTCTTCTTTTTCAGCCAAATTTAATATACTGATTTAGAAGAAACATGCTTGTCTAACCTCTCCGCCATCATCCAAGACAAATACCTCCCCGTGTTCAAAAGGAGACATTGTTCCAGCATCAATATTCAAGTAAGGATCTGAAGGTAGGGAAAGTCAGTTAGACCAGGAATTAGGCTTCAAGAAAAGCGCTTCTCCTAATGTAAGGAAATAATAAAGTGGTGTGTCAGACCATTGCAAAAGAAAAAAACATCAGTTTCAATTTTAGGAAGGTTTAACTTTAAATCCCCATCTCCGTAGAAACGAAAAAGATAATTGAAAACACAAGCTCGATTGACATTTTGAGCTTCCAGTCTGCACAAAAATAGCTCAGCCTTATCGCCAAAGAGGGAAAAAAAACAAAAAAAAGTGGTTCGCTTGATCCGGTTCAACAAAAAGCAATTGATAAAAACACAAGTGTGGTGTGTGTGGAGAGAGACCAATCTTGATGGAAGTAACACGAAGCCCGCATGCTTGAAGAATGAGGCCTATACTGCTAGCAGTAACTCCCTTTCCAAGACCGCTCACAACTCCTCCGGTCACCAGCACGTACTTCATTGCTGGACAACAAAGAAGCAACAACCACACAGGAATCCATCATATTCGCACCACAAGAATTACAAACATTACTTTAAAAAAATACACAATGGAAGCGTGGCAATGGCAGGTTCAGATGATGATGATAGACAACATATCAAAGGCAAATAAATACGAACAATTTCGACTCAAAAAAAACACATATTTCACAAACACATGCCACATTATTGCATTACCTTCTATTGTTCTAAACGGAGTTAAGCAAATGCTGACTGCCAATGGCCGGAGATGCAACCCGATCCGAAATGCAGTGGAGATTTTGGTTTGAAGGTTGGGGAAAAGGCGATTTGAGATGGCGGCTATAAACCCCCCAAACCCTGCTTCCGTCTCCGGTTATTGTGTTCCTCTTTTTGGGGCTCTGAAATTTTATAACCAAATTAATATTTTAATAAAACAATCTAAATTTAAATTGCCCCTTAGAGTCCGTTTGGTACACGGAATTGATGGAATTGGAATTGAATTGGAATTGAAATTCCATGGTATACAATTCCATAGAATTGAATTCTGCCAATTCCAATTCATTTTTTGCACTATCAATTCCAAATTCACACAATTTTTGTACTACCAAACACCAGAATTGGAATTGAAGCCCTCAATTCCAATTCCATAGTTTGAATTCCGTATACCAAACGGGGCCTTATATAGTTATATTGTGAGTATTTATACGGTAGAACATGTTATACACTTGAAAAATGCTAGGGTACACCAAATGTATACCCCATTTGTCCCCTATCCCCTCCTTGTCCACAAAAAAAGGCAAGAAATTCAAATAAAAATAAACAAATAAAAATGGATGGTGGAAAAAGGGGTGATGTACATTTGGGATACACCTTTGGTGTACCCCTAGCATTGCTCTATACACTTACCTAGCTCTAATTAGTAATTACTAAAAAAATGAACAACATCCCCGAGGACCCCTCAGACCCGACCGGTAGGGCTATCAGTGGATAGCTGAAAATCCGATTACAGTTCTGATTTTCAGTATCCGTTAAAATCCGTATCCAAATTCGACATCCAAAACAAATAAACGATACGGATTTGGTAATGACACATCCGATCCCATTAATAACAGTTTACACCCCTACGGCGACCGGAGTGGAGTCTGCACCTGGTATCTGTAGAAATCGAACTCGGGTCTTATCCTCTGACACCCCTTGTCTTGCCAACTGTAATCGAACTCGGGTCTTACCCTCTTGGCACCCCTTGTCTTGCCAACTGCACAACGTCCACCGGCACTCTAATTACTAAAAAAACCAACTCAATAAAAGTAAAATATATTCTCTCCATCTAAAAGAGATCCTAATTTGACTTCGTACAGAGTTTTGTCTATTGGTGCTTCCTTTGCGATTGCACAAATTATTGTATGGAGTATGGTTTTTGTTATAACTTGTGCTCAAATTATAGTTCTATATTGAGTGATGCTTACATGGTATCAAGGTTCATATTTAAAATATGACCTTCTCACATTTTAAGAGTTTTGCATGTAAATATTTTCTTTTTCACAAAAAACTCCCTTCTTTTATGCTATAAATGTAATAAGGTTCATAAAATGAACATGAACCTTATAACCACGGAAGAATTTTCCTTCTTATTTCATTTGTTTCGTAATCTTTGTTTGACATACAAATTTTGAAAAAAATATTTATCTTAAATTATTCGTTTAAGTTTGACTTTATGAAAAATTTTAAATTCTTCTTCTCCTTCTCCTTCTTCTTCTTCTTCTTTTTCTTCTTCTTCTTCTTCTTCTTCTTCTTCTTCTTCTTCTAGATTTATTCCATGGCAGTGGGTGCCAATGGTAAATCTACTTATTCTTCTTTTTAGATTTACGCCAGTGGCGATGCTGGCAGCTGGAGCCAATGTGAGTCTAGATCTACACTTCTTCTTATCTTTCTCCAACATCTTTCTCTTCATTATTTAATTTAGATTTGTGCCACAGTAACGATGATGGTCGGGGCGGTGTTGGGGTTGGCACCAATGGTGGGACTCGCAACGACGGAAGGGCTGAGGGTTTCAGCAAGGGAAGAGTAAGCATGCTTTACACTCCAAAAATTATTACTTTCATTGGTAACTTAAACTATCTTTTTTAACCTGTCAACTCAAAGATAATCAATCACTTTATGTCTTTTCCAAATTAAATAAATAGATTTTCGAAATCTTTAAAGTTGGATGGTATTTACTGCATTACTTGAGTTGTGCTTTATTTCAATGGTATTTATAGGACTTCATCTTGCAAGGTTATAGCACTTCATCTTGCACGGTAAAAAGTGTAAAGATCTCCAAATCAGGATACAACCCCCACAATAAATGTAATACATTTAGTACAAAGCTCAATATAAGTAGATTAAATTTACATTTTCAACATCCATAATTCAGCCATAAGCAATCTCCTTACTTCAAGGTTTGCAACTTTATCTTCTATCCATTATTAAATGTTCTTTTTCCTAGGAATGTTGGGTTGGGTTGGGTTTGAATAATCAGGAAAATATATTTCTTCCCTCTCACAAAATTTTTCAAATTAGAAAGATAGTACTCCCTTCGTCCCATTTTAAATTGTCTGTTTTTTTTTGTCTGATTCAAAATAAGTTGTTTGTTTTTTAATATAGTAAACTCTTAAAGGTAAAATACCTAAACTACCACTCAAACAAGCCACTTCCCTTCCTTATATATGCCCCAAATTCAAAACGGGAATATAAAATGGGACGGAAGAGTACGTCTCAAAATGCGTAATTTTGATATTTTTTAATTATAATTAATTTATTCTACATATTTAATATTAAAATTATACATTTTAAAAGCTTTTCAACTTTAAGAGATTTTTTTGAACGGGTGAAAGAATATATTGTACATAGATTATAAAAGTAAAATTATTCTCCCTCTATCTAAAACTTATATTTTCGTTGAACGCTATGATGGTTAATTCAATTTTTTTAAATCATTTTACATGATTAAAAAACAAAATTAAAAATAATTTTATATTATTTTCAAAAGTATACAAATTATTTTTATATAATTAAAAAATAAAAATTACATATTTTAAAGTTAAGTCAAAAGATCTACAAATTAAAAATGACATAACAAAATTATGTTATTAAATGAATAGAAATCTATACATCTATACATCTATACATTATTTAAAAAGACATGAATTTTTTCCCGTCCATGCATGACACTCATATATGGAAAGTGTTGACAACATAAATGGTAGTTTAATTATTTTACCTTAATGTTTTCCTTCCATTTCAAGTATGTTTTTATTTTTATTTTTATTTAAATGTTACACCATTTAAGCATTTAAATTAAATTAAATTAAATAATAGTGAACCATTGGGGAATTGAAGTATGGAAATAAAATACACTGCCATTTAAATATTAAAAATAAAATTTAAAAATTACAAATTAATAAAGTATGGGCAGGATTAAAATGATTTATTCCAAACAAACTACAAATTAATTATTTATCATTAAAAAATATTATAATTTACAAGCACAAACGCGTAAAAATGGTAAGTTTTCTAAAATAGATTAGAAAATAAATATGGTACGGTAAGTAGATGATAACATTTAAATAAAAGAATAAAATAAAAAGCTACAAATTAATATTAATACTATAATTTAAAAGAATGGAAACGTTTTAAAAATGACATATGTTCTAATTAGCACCATTTAAAAACAAAAATAAAATAAATGGTAAATTTTCTAAAATAAACTAGGTCAGTGTTCTAAAATAAAAGAGAAAATAAAATACTCCCTCAGTCCCTAATTTCATTACAAATTGCGGGTTACAGAGTAAAATTTCTTACTTTTTGAAATCATTTATTTACAAATTTATATATCAATAAGATATAAAAATTACATATTAAACGACTACGTCAAAAGTTCTACAAAATAAGAAGTGATAAGAATATTTTATTTTATCAAATACTTAATGAAATCGCGTAAACAAACAAAAGTTATCGAGATGAGAGAAAAAAATTATAATTTATTTAGGGATAGAGAGAGTACATCTAAAAATGATAAGTGTTCTAAAATAAATTAGAAAACAATGTAGTTTGGTAAGTAATTAGTACGATTTAAATACGAAAATAAAATAAAAAACTGCAAAATTAATATTAATACTATACTTTAAAAACATGATTTTTTTAAAAAAGTTAAGTGTCCAAATTAGAAAATTAGAAAATAAATATAGAATGGTATGTCACCACGATAAGCAAATGGTACCATTTAAACACAAAATAAAATAAATGGTAAGTGTTCTAAAATAAATTAGGTAAGTGCTCTAAATAAATTAGAAAATAAAATAATTATTAAAACGATAAGTATTCTAAAATATATTAGAAAATAAATACGGTACGGTAAGTAAATGATACCATTTAAATAAAAAAAATAAAATAGAAAACTACAAAATAATACTATCAATTAATACTACGGAGTACAATTTACAAGCATGATAACATGTAAAAATGGTAAGTGTTATAAAATAAATTAAAAAATAAATATGGTACATTAAGCAAATGGTACCATTTAAATGCAAAAATTAAAAAATTATAAATTAATACTATTAATATTATAAGCATGGAAACATGTAACAATGGTATAAGTATTCTAAAATAAATACTATTAGTACTATAATTTACAAGCATAGATACGTGTAAAAATGGAAAGTGATCTAAAATAAAATAGAAAATAAATACCATAAGGTAAGTTAATGGTACCATTTAAATACGAAAATAAAATTAAAAAATACAAATTCAAAAATAAATACATTAATATGTAAAATTATTACTTAGATAATTCAAATTATTGAATTATTATCAAGAACAATATCTGAAACATATTGAATTATTGTTACGGAAACTGGTATTTAGTCACGAGAAAGTGTATGTTACAGTTTAAAGAGTAATAAATCGCAATGGCTTGAAAATTCTGATATACAACGAAGTGAATGCTCACACAAATTATACATACGAGCGATGTAGTTTATAAAGAAATCTTTTGAAATTTATAAATCATTTTACTTTTGTACTTTAAAATAATGAAATCTCTATATTCCATTATATACCAATTTATATTCCTAAAAATGATCTTAAGTTAGTACCGTAACTATGACCCGTGCAACGCACGGGTGTGATACTAGTCATCTTAAATAGGACTAAAACATAGAGGAAAATACCAAAATAAAACGCTCATTTTTTTTCCTCAAAATAAGACTTTGCACTCTGGTAATGTGGCATTGTACATGTGCACATTACTATACTTTTTTGGTAATGTAAGCCCTATTTCGGGAATAAAGACATGGAAGTCCTATTTTAGTATATTTTCAATGTTTTAGTCTTACTTTAGTCTTTCTCTCTT